TAAGCATTAACCCATCAATTCCACATTTGGATTTGGAACCTGCAACGTTACACTGAATCACCCATAAGGCCCCACTCACAAGGGAAGGCCTCCCTTCTCTGCTGTGGAGCTTGTGCAAACAGTGTAAAATATGTGTGAGTTGGGAGCTATAGCAGGTGGCATATGGGTGCAGGATCCTGCTATCCCCCTACCAAGAGAGTGGGAAACCTGAGGAGGTGGGAGAGGCTAACCTGTGGGGAAGAAACTGAACTGTTGGCTTTTTTCTCCTTTAGCCCCTCACTCCAGGGTCAGTGCTCCAACTAGCTCTCCCATGGCAGTGGTGATGCCTGTCAGCATCCAGAGAGAACCAGGGCCCAGAGGCTCCTTTCTTCTCCACGTGCCACAATGTGTTTTACCCACATTGTGAGGGCCGCCTGCTCTACACTCTCAGGCAAGGCTTTGCATACACTTTTGCAGTTGAACAGTGTCACGACTGCTTGCAGCCCAACCAAACAAACCTTTAAAGTTTTTGGTCTACCTAAAGCTCTCAATCAAAAAGCAAGTTTCTTATTGCTGACAGCATTTATTTTATGTTTGGGGGCTCCTTGACTCAGGAACTACAGCAATATAACCTTTCAGATAGGGTCACAGGAATTGCTGATTGCTTGTCATGAAAATGTTCCTTCCTCTGCCTGCCTGCAGGAATCACCAGCCATCAAGGTACCATTTGGGCAGCTTGTTTAATCCTAGCTTTTATGGTTAAGCCTTTAAACATTAGGTTAACTTCTGTTCAATAGTAAGTAGGACAGAGGGAAGCCTTTCTCCCTCACCCCCCACCTGTCACCTGGGTGAGAGCATTCACTACCAGGTAGATTCTGGTGAGTCTTAGATTCCCAAATCTGGCCCATGGTTCCTCTTCCAGAAAAATCATGTTTCTGTCAGCATTCCATCCCCATAGCCAAAATTGCCAGGTCTGGGATTTGATTTTACCCTATCAGTAAGAACCAGTAAGTTGGCTGCTGACAGAAGACACAAGACTCCTGGGTCAGAGGTCAAGGATTTTATTTAGCATTCTTAACACAGCCTGCAGAATGAACATTAGCATGTTTGTTGCAGTTCCCATTGTCCCTAGATCCACACGGGCAATGCACTGGGCCCGGAGAGATGTCAAGCATGCAATTGAGAAACACAGGGTGAGGAATCCACTTTTACAGCAGGCCTACTCCCTGTCCTCAAGGTTACTAACTACATACATCCTGAGAAATACCCAGGCAAAACTGTTGTCAGCCCTGTGGTCTTGGCCCACCCAGCGAAGTGTGTAGGTGCAGAAGAGGTGCAACAGAACTGGACAGTCTTGTCTGACAGCTTTTCCAATATTGTGTTTTGTTTGTTCTTTGGTGTATTTCTCTTTCATCCTCTCTGTAAGTGGACGCCCTGTGCAGGCTAGGCCCTTGGGCAATAGCTGGCTACAAAATGATGTGTAGCCTAATCAAGAATGTTTTCAAATTATAGTTTCAAAAACTGAAGAAGGATAAGTCCTTTAAAAGTGTGCCCACCACTCAGTATGTCAGCCACCTGTCAGTCCTAAGTGGGACAGAGAGCTAAAGAAAACTTTTCTGGTCCATCTCTCTTTAAGAATTAGGACTACTGCCAGTTTCTAAAATAAGGACAGTCACATAATAGTCTGGAAACGGCCACTTGCATTTTTCTAGAAAGAAATCTATTCTGGTGAGAGGGTGATGACTGACAAGGCAGTAATATACCGTTGCTAAGGAGAAGACCCAATAATTATGCTGATGGTCCAAGGCTGACATAATATAACTCAGCCCAAGTGTAGAGCATGTGACGATTCTTCTTCTTACAGAGTTTTTATTTCAGCCTTAAAAAGACTTCCAAAATTTGTTATTTAGATTCCAAGATTTTACTCTTCAGAGATATACTAACTGTAACTGTTTTAAAATTACAAAGCGAACTTCAGTTAAGTCTCAGCTTTTAATTCATGACAGGTAATAAGCAACAACATTTGAGAACTAAAAGGAGAACAAAAATGAGATCGGTGGCTGCAATAAACAACATCTGAAGAATCATTCAGTAGATGGACATTAGTGATTAAGCTTCAGAGTCACACGATGAAAAACATAAATACATGACTAAGTAGTTATCCCTGGCAGACCCCACAAAGCCTGAAGTTCAGATGCAAAGGGCTGTTTTGGTAACTTAGGGGAGATAGAATAATACAATGATGGTGTTTCTATTCATTTGGCATAAACTCTTTTTCCTGTCCTAAGCAGTTTCACAAAACACCTTAAAATTCTATCTTTTCCTGTGTGTTTCTATTAGAGATTTCAAGGAAAAATCCTAACACTTTTCTCCTGAAAGTGATGAAAATAAAAGCACTGAAGTCACAATGTTTTAACACATTGTCATGCATTGTTTCAGAGTTTATCTTTGGGGTATAAAATAGTAAGTGGGCTAGTGTAAAAAATATTATGCACTAATTAGTTACATGTAAGAACCAAATTAATCCCATTTTTTTGGAGAGAATTTAATTTGAAGAAAATCAGCTTCCTGACTTGGTTAAAACAAAGTCTATAATGTAATGAGACAAAAGTGAAGTAGTTTAAGTAATAAATGTTTAATCAAAGAATTTTACATATTAACAGCATTCATTTGGCCAAACATCTACACGTTTGTAGAATCCTACTGTATATAAAGTGGGAATGTATCAAGTATAGACTATGAAAGTGCAAATAACAAGTCAAGGTTAGAGTAATTTTTTTTTTTACATTATAAAATTAACTTGTTTACAAAATAGGCTTTGCCAAACTTTATTTCTGAACTGTAAAGTCAATGACTGTGTTGTTTTTAAAATATGTACCAAGGAAATACAAATTGAATAATGATCATTTTTCATGCTCAGGAGATAGCACAGAAACAAAGGGTACTGCACAAGGCGTAAGGAACCAGAACCCATCACATACACTGTCTTCACACACAGCACTCTTTCTCACCTTATTGCAGCTTCGCAAGACGCCTCAATGTGATACAAAGACTCTTTCTATTGAAAAGTTACAACTCGGTCTAAAAACTGATTGGTGTTGATATTTTTAATCCAAAATAAATTTGTAAAAAAATCCTTTAATGGACTGTTTCAGTTGAATATACAGTAATACACTGTAGACAAAGTCAGTATTTTCCCCAACTAATTTACTGGGGATTGATATCACTGTTTCTGAAGACCGGGGAAATAAAAGCTAATGTGGACCTTTGATATCCATGGCCTAGGAGCGATTCACACACAGTTTATTCTAAGGGAACCCGGGGAATATTAAGTACTCTAATAGAGTGTCCTAGCCATATGAATTCCAAGTACAAGAGTTTCAGAAACAGGTTTTGGAGGAAAAAAAAAATAAAAACCGTAATCACAACTCACATGGATATCCATACTAATGTAACCTTTTACCCAGCCCAGGACTTGCCTGTACAAACTCAGTACTGAAATTTTGGTATCTGTAGATTTCTGGTAAGAATCTGGCAAAACATTAAATGGAGTGTTGCATATCTATTTTGTTTATGTTACTCTAGTTTTGATAATATGTAAGTAAAACAGCCATTCCAACAGTTTACTCTAGTTTTAATTACACACTGTATCACTGTATCTTAATTACAACTAAGACCAGTATTTTCTTCACAGTAAGACACTGATAACTAGGAAGTTGATTTTTTTTCAACACTAAACAGTAATCACACAGCAAATGAGTATTGTGCAATAGAACAAACACATGTCAGCATTTGCTATTTAGGCAAACAAACCGATTGAACATTTAGTAGTTATATTTACTGTAAAGGCAAGGCCATGGGTGGTTTTATGGAGGTCTTTGCAATTCATAGCATAGTTACTTCAGAAGAGACACTGAAATTTCAATTACTCACTTATTTAACTGGCAACTATCCATTTAGTTAGGCAAAGGCACGGTAACATGTTGCGCAGGATGTTTTATTGAAATTTTTTAATAATTGTGGGATTTACTATAACTCATGAAAACTCCACTTTTTTTTCTATTTTATAAAACACCATTAAAAGTAATTGCACCCATTAGTAATTAGAATGCACTGTAAAAGTGTGAAAACAAAGAACTATGATTGCACTTCCAATAAAGTGTCTCTTAAAATACAGCACCGCTGTTGCTAATCAACTGTATTTTAATATTAAAATAAACTGTTTTTAACAGCAGCATTAGGTTTAGTTAACTTAAGCTACAGGCTACATTTATTTAAATGCAGTCTCCATGGCAACAAAAGCCCATTATATTCTGGTACCAAGTGGCACCTTTAACTCCCGAGAAGGCTGAGACTACTCTGGAGCCCTCTAGGACACTGCACACCTAAACGCCTTGTTAGTGCACGAGTCAGTTTGGCACAAGTGGACTGGAAATAGACATGAAAAGAAATCTTTGATTCATGTGAATATTAAAACTACACTGTGGTAGACGTAGCACTAAAGAGATGCCTTGGATACCTCAATTCACACCGCTCAGACAAAAAGGAATAAAGTTATAGAAGAACACAAAGAGATTGAGGAACAACATGTTATTAGATCTGTCCAAAATAACTTCTAAAATGAAGAAAACTTTTTTCTTTAAAAGAGGAAAAAACCACCCAAGGATTAGGGAGTAAGCCTTTAATTTAAACATTCAATTTAAGTATCGCTGACTTTAGGCTAAACAGAGGACTGCATTTTCTCACAATGTGGAATCTAGCCTATTTATTCCATTTGTGTTTCTCTTACTCTTTTTTGTCAGCACAAAGGGGAAAAGCTATCCAATTAAATACAAAAGAAATTCCCTCTAAGGTAATAATCAGAAATGAAGCTACCATTCAAGGGAACTCCTCCGTATTTTAATACTAATGTCAGTGGTTTATAACTGAGTTGGAATTAAGTGGATCAAGTCTCTACAAAGCATACTCCACTAGAATACCATCTGTACCTGTGATTCGTTTAGAGCCCAGAGGTGTGCAGTTCACACTAAATGTACTTGTTCAAGCCAGTCACTTGAGGTCTGAGGTGTTTGGCTTGAAGCATCTGAACCATCCCCATTGTTGGCTGCCTCATTACTACTAATGCCAGCTTGAGATGCTGCTTCTCCAGCCAGAGTATTTTCTTCCAAAGGATTTTCTTCTTCTATTTGGGTTCCTCTACCTTCACTGACCGCGGCATCTTCAAACACTGAATCTTCTGGTGGCACCAGCTCCACATCCCTCTTACCTTCTGATTCATCTTTGACACAGGGGAGCTGGGGATCTGCACTGATTTCTGTAACTGCTGGAGGAATCAGGGCGATACTCTGAGGATTCATGTCATGAAACCAAGCCATGATGTTGCCAAGAAGATTGTCATTGATGTTGGCATCCTGGCCAGCTGAGTCAGGGTCACTGGATGAGGGATAGAATTCACTTCTCGCCTCACTGAGAGGGTGTGAACTCAGAGTGTCAGTTGAAAATGGGTCACTCTCTGCTCCTAATCTCATGAGGCTGTCACCAAGTTCCAACAGCTCAGAGCTGCTCAGTGCAGCCCGAGGGCTATCTGTGTTCCTGGGGACTGAGTCTAGTCTGGAAGGTAAAGAGGTGCCTATCGCTCCTAAGGATGCTTCATTATTGAGGAAGTCTCTATTTTCCTCATCAATGGCCAGCCCGGATTCTTGCAATGACAATTGTATTGCAAGAAGTATATTGGGATCATCTTCATCCAAGGAACTCAGAGCCTGAGGCGACAGAAAGTTAAATCACTTTAAAATTTAAAAGGAAAAATTATTTAACCTAATGAAGTTTACCAACTATTCTTTCACCAGATAAATAATACTACCTCTATTTATACAGAATTATTGCTTTATCTACTCAAATCTTAATTTTTTCCTTGTCCATGCTAAAGAGAAAAAAAATTCCTTAAGATAACTCTGACATTTAGGAATCTTTTCCTGTAGTACATCTCTGAAACAAAGATTTTTAATGAAAGGAAGACAAAGAGCAATAAAGTAAAAATAGGAAGTCAGGCTAAACAGAGAAAGAGCAAAAACAGGAACAATGAGGCTGCCCACAAAGGCTACCTGAAGAGAGTCCTGGTTTTCAGAGCGACTGGCAGGGGTGTAGTCACGTAGGGAAGAGCTGTGCAGCACGCTCATAGATGCGGAACTTACCACAGAGGCACCCGGCCTGCGGCCACTGCCACCATCTGGGATGTCTGTTTCAAAGCAAGTGGAACCAGAGACAATCCAGTCATACAAGACTTCACACATGTTTTTTGCACTTATTTTTTTAATTTTTATGTTAGCAAGCAGGGGAGAGGGGCAGAGGGACAGAGAGGGAGAATCTTAAGCAGACTCCACACTCAGCGCAGAGCCCAATGAGGGGCTCAATCCCACAACCATGGGATCATGAGCCAAAATCAAGAGTCGGAAGCTTGGGGCGCCTGGGTGGCTCAGTAGATTCAATGTCCAACTCTTGATCTCTGCTCAGATCATGATCTCACAATTTGTGGGTTTGAGCCCCATGGTGGTGGGCTCTGTGCTGACAGGGTGCAGCCTGCTTCAGATTCTGTATCTTCCCCTCTCTGCCCCTACCAGGTGCATGCCCATGTGCTGTCTCTCTCAAAATATATAAATAAGCTTTAAAAAAAAAAAAAAAAAAGTCAGATGCTCAGTGGACTGAGCCATCCTGGCACCCCGACACATCTTTTTATTTTAGTCAATAATTTCTCTTTCAGTGCTGGTGAAAACCTGTGTTCACATGTTCACTTAATCTTTCAGAGATTCTCCTCCCTATATGTCTCATCAAAATATATCTAATATTACCACTTCAAACACGATTGCTCTTTACGTTTTTGTTTGCATTACATATGGTTCTATTCATAAATGCAAGTGCTACCACCACTCTTTTTTTCTTAAGCAATAACAAAGGTATTTTAGTTTTCAAAGTTCTTAAAACTAAAGAATTTTGGAATTACAATAGCCTGAAGAACAAATCTTTAGGTTCATTGATCCTGATTTATTAAATATGATCTGCTGACGTAAGAATTTGAAGATTTTCCATTAAGAATTTAACATTTAAAAGTTGATAATAAAAATAATTGATTTCTAGAGGCGCCTGGGTGGCTCAGTCGGTTAAGTGTCTGACTTTGGTTCAGGTCATGATCTCACAGTTTATGAGTTCAAGCCCTACATAGAGCTCTGTGCTGACAGCTCAGAGCCTGGAGCCTGCCTCGGATTCTGTGTCTCCCTCTCTCTCCCTGCCCTGCCCCTGCTCACATACTCCTTCTCTCTCTCTCTCAAAAATAAACATTAAAAAATAAATTTTAAATGATTTATTTCAGAAATTTTCTTTTAAAGAATGTTAACGGGAGAAGTGAAGCTAAGAGGAAAATATTCCATGAACACAGTAACAGTGATCAACAGCTACAATTTATTGAGTGCTCTCTAGGTGTTACTAGTGCTTAATTAAGGGTTTTATACACATTATCTCATTTAATGCTCACAATGAGCCCACAATGTGGCACTGTTTTTATTGCTTCTTAGAATGAGGAGACTAAATCTTAGAGAGGTTAAGTCAACTTGACTGAAGTCTTACACTGATATAGAGATGGGGTCATGAATGCAGGTTCCAGCTGACTCCACAGCCCATGTTCTTTTTTTTTTTTTTTTAATGTTTATTTATTTTTGAAAGAGACAGTGAGCGAGCAAGTGCAAGTGGGAGAGGGGCAAAGAGAGAGGGAGACACAGAATCTGAAACAGGTTTCAGGCTCTGAGCTGTCAGTACAGAGCCCAATGCGGTGCACAAACCCACGAGCTGTAAGATCATGATCTGAGCCAAAGTCGGATGCTTAACCAACTGAGCCACCCAGACGCCACTCCACCGCCCATGTTCTTAACCTCTCTGGTTTTATGTATCCTGTGACATTCAAAGCATCTGCATATTGATTATATATCTACACTACAAACTATTTCACAAACATTTAAATTTGCCAGTTTTAAGAATAAATTCAAGAGAACTAAAAAGACTAAAACCGAGCCAACTTAAGAGCTTACCTAAAGTGCTTTCACTCGGCTCATCAGGGTCTGGAGCGTTACTGAGCAGACTGTGCACATCTCCTCGACGGCGTTGTTGTCTGTGCCTCCTCCGATACTGAAATTCAGCATATTCCTGCATAAACCAAAGGTTATAAAATACAGAAGAGCATGCAATTTTTTTAATGCAAATAAAACACACATTTTTTTTCCAGGAAAAAAAATGTGTGATTTTATATACATATAAAGTCACTTGGCATTAACGAAAGAAACTTCAGGTTTTGCCATGCCAAGGAAACAGAAAAGGTAAAATGGAAAAAGAAAAATTTTAAATAGTCATTACAACTGCCTGGATAAATTGGGAATACTTGCAAGCTCCAATGCCAGGGCAGAACTGAGCCTTTTTCATATGCCTGGGTCTTGTTACATAATGTTTAACACCATAACGATTTTGCTAATATACGTTAGGCTTTTATTAATATAAGCTAGGCTCTTGGAGGTCTGGTTTTTAAAAAGTGACTGTGATATATGCAACAGAAAGGGGAAAAAAAAGTGTACACTACCAATTGCTTATCAGACTATGAGATTTTGTATTCCTTGGGACTACAACATATCATACTCACAAGTTAAATGATTAAAAGAAAAATGTGAAATTAGCTTTAAAATAAGATGTTACTTGGCTTCCTTCCTATATTAGTTAATATGTGGGGCTATCTACAACACAGGCAGAGGGCATATGGGTAGGATGAAGGTATGGGTGGAGGCAGAACCTGGGACCACCTGCTACTACCTGGGTATACACATACTTTTCCAGGTTTTAGTGACAGAAGAGATTAGAAGAGAGGCCAGTCAGTGTGCATGACACTAGCACAGATAGGCTGATTTTGAGAATCATTATAGAATCTTTCAGTGATAAACACAAATATACTCAGGTTTATGATCATCCTGGTTACCCTAGGATATTCAATATGTTTATGTTGTGAAAGTACTAGAATAAAAACAAAGACAAGTTTTTACATCATAAATAATACTTTCACATCACACTACTCTGGTTAAATTTATTTAAACTCCTGGGGCGCCTGGGTGGCGCAGTCGGTTAAGCGTCCGACTTCAGCCAGGTCACGATCTCGCGGTCCGTGAGTTCGAGCCCCGCGTCGGGCTCTGGGCTGATGGCTCAGAGCCTGGAGCCTGTTTCTGATTCTGTGTCTCCCTCTCTCTCTGCCCCTCCCCCGTTCATGCTCTGTCTCTCTCTGTCCCAAAAAAATAAACGTTAAAAAAAAAAAAAAATTTAAATTTATTTAAACTCCATTTATGTAAACAAGCAGTTGGAGTCCAATATGAAATGGGAGGCATCCTACCAGGTTAGAAACCAAGAAAGATCCTACAGGTTCTCAGAGGGATTATTTAGGTTCTTTAAAATTTACTGCTGAGCTGTGGTATGAGTTCTTCCTTTGCTGGAGGCCCATGATCCCAAACTGGATAACTATTATGTGTCATCATGGTTCACTAGACCACTGAGGAACACTGCATTTCTTAGCCAAAGATGGCATAAAAATTTTATTTCAGTTCAAGGTTTATATTTAAGGACAATTTGCTTCCTTTGTACACTTGAATACAGTACAAAAAGTTATTCTGAATTAATAGTAAACTATTAGTTTGGTTACTATTACTATTAGTTAGTAATAGTAAACTATTACTAACCACATAATACACATATTTCCAATTTAGGAAAACTAAAATTTGGGTTAAAAACAACCATAAAAGAGGGGTGCCTGGGTGGCTCAGTCGGTTAAGCATCGACTTTGGCTCAGGTCATGATCTCACAGTTCGTGGGTTGGAGCCCTGTGTCAGGCTCTGTGCTGTCAGCTCAGAGCCCGGAGCCTGCTTCAGATTCTGTGTGTCCCTCTCTCTCAAAAATAAATAAAACATGAAAAAAAATTTTTTAAAAACAACCATAAAAGAAACTTGTTATAATTACTCTGATGGTAAACCCAATAGCATTCTCTCATGATGCAATAGGCTTAAAAAAACTGATCTCATAAAATTAAACCTATCTGAAAATTTCTAAGAATTCCTAGATTTTTATGTAAGCATATGAAAAAGCTTTAGTTGTGGTACTCCAAAAGGTTGAAGAGTGTTAAGGTTACAGACAAGACTGAGAAATTTTAAGATTTATAGGAGAAAAAGCTGCTAGGAGCTTTTTGTTGAGCACTAATTTATTGAGCACCAAATTTATCAGTGACTTAAAGAGATGCTTTAATCCTTCTAGAACTTCCATGGGGTAGATGCTGTCATCCATATTTTACAGATGAGAAGTTAAGGAAGAATGGGGAGCCTAAAGTGTAATAAGTTCCAGAGCTAGACCTTGAATTCAGGTGTCCCTCAGACTTTAACACTATGCTCTTTCCTCTGGGCTCCACTGCCTTTAAAGTGGTACAAAATACTTATGATTGTCACTGACTCAATTTAATTAAAAACGGAGAAAGATGGAATTAACTTGACTGAAAAAATATAAATTCAACCTAAAAGTCTATTGAAGTTTGGTAACACTAATTTTTTTTTCCAAAGTATATATGAAGGCAAAGAGTTAATTTTTAAAGATATTATTTTGGCAGTTACTTGATAGAATTTTAGAGTTTCACACTGTAGAGTAATTCTTTAGACTTGCAATAAGGTTTACATAAAAGCTTGGTGTTTCAATGTGTCAAAGACTTTAAAGAAAAATAAAAGTTAAAAAATTCTTATAAAACTTATGAACACATAAAAATAAATTTAAGAAGGAAATGTTACTTATACTTTCATAATTCTCAATCTCTGGAGAACAAGAGCTCGATAATTTTATTCATAAATATTCACATGTGAGGTAGCAAGCTTTCCTGTTTTTTACAAAATGAATCTGTGTCAGTCACATTAGTAGGTCCTCAATATTCAAGGACAAATATTTAGGATTCCTAAAGTTACTGTCAGAGCTAGAAGCTACAAGAGATGTGTACATGACTATGAGTACACTGGTAAAGGTTTTATTTTTGCTCAAATAAAGCTAAATTGTTTTCTACCTTGAAATACTGAAATCTTTAGTACTCTTTTTTTCATAACTGAAGCTTGTTTTTCATGCTTTTAGGTAGAAATTTTCCATAACATCCTCAAAGTTGTAATAGAATAATAAGCATAGCATAGAAAAAGGTTCATAATTTATTTTATAACAGTTTCAGTAATATATTAAAGTCTTTATGCAATTTAAGTGAATTAAAAATTTTCCATATCAGAGCTCAAAGCACAAATTGTTTTCTCAAGTCAGTATTTTCTTAGATATATCTACCAATACAACAGGCCACAAGGTGATTGCAAGTATCCTCAGTAGCTGAAAAGACAAAGTATCTGTTTTAAATAATCCACCGTCATTTCTAGATAATTTCATTCTCCTTCAGTTGAAGACAACAAATGGGCTATAAATTATAAAGTTTCACTGTTTGTCCTGCTCCCTTCTAAGAACTAAGTTAAAAGGTTATTGTAACATAAACACCAGATAGTATACTGTTTTAGAGAATAAGGAAGGAGAGACAGAAGTAGAGATAACTACTAAAACCATTTAAAATCAGACTCAACAGGAACAGTGGCAATTTAAATCTCAGAAAATAGCAATGTGACTAAGATTTTCACTCTATCTTATTTGTGGGAATTGCTACTTGTAGTGTTAGTATTTTAGACTGCATTTTATTTATTTACTTTTAAAGATTTTATTTTTAGGCAATATCTACACTCAACACAGGGCTTGAACTCATGACCCTGAGACCAAGAACTAATAAAGTTCTTGGTGACTGAGCCAGTCAGGCACCCCCTAGACTATTTGTATCTTAAAATCTATCAATAACAACTAAAAAAAACAAAAACAAACAAAAAAAAATCAAGACAAAAAAAAACAAGAAGAGGGTGAAAATCTTAAAGAGCAGAAAGCAATTAAGCAAAGCATTTTTTCTGCATAAACATTATTAATGTCAAGTTTCCACCTTAGAAACTGATTTATAAATCAATCAGGTTGTTGCAGTAACTTAAAAAAATAGACTGTGCAGGTTTTTCATAGATTCAGACTGAAACAAGATTATGACAAAAAATGCATTTCTAATAAAATTTATACTCATTAACCAATTTGAAAATACACTCCAAAATATATGCTATATGTTAGCCTTAATTTTGACTGTTCAGTAATTACAAATAATAAAAAGGGGGATGCATTTAACAATGTGATGATAATCCAATACCACAAATGGCTAAATGCAGGCTCTGCTGAGGCATTTTTATTATATAAGAAAGAGAAAACATTGCCAACGATCTCAGTAGGATTTAGAATAGATAAGGGTGGAAATGCAAGCAAGATATCACTAAGGAAAAATATAATTAAAAAACGAAACAAAACCCCCGCAAAACAATTACCTCAGGTGATGCAAATCCTAAATATTCCCAATCCCATGTTCCACCAGCAAAGCTACAAAGAAATTGGACATACCATTTGATTTATTATCAGCACTACAAAGTATGAACAATCAGACCCTTGCCCATTGAACATTATTTTTAATTCCTCTGCTTGCAACTTGCTTAACCAAAGTATACCAACTACTGAATATAATTAAAATGATCTTTTCAATTATTTCTTTCAAATTCTAATTGTGTAAAATAGTATAAAAATAAAAATCATCATGTTATAACAGTATTTTATGATTGCTTCTATTTTTATGTGTTTATGTAAAAATAGGGTCAAAGGAATTTCTAATGAGTATAATTGTTATGAAGAAAACATGCTTTAATTTATAGTGGCAGAAACAGTGTAAGTATCTGAAACAACCAAAACTCAGCTGTTCTTTATTGGATGAATATGAATCACTTAAATTATTAACATGAGATTTCTAATTTCTTTATAAGCTCTTACATAAAAATATAAAAATAACAAGTTGGCAAGGCTTTCAACTTTGACACTGTAAGGTGTTTATGACTATCATATCACTACATACATTACATATTTGAAATGATGCATTAGAATACTCTGAATTATGAGTTCAATGAAGTGTGAAATTAACCTAATTTATTCCAAGAAAGTACACAATGACAAAAAATGAAAAAAAACAGAAACAGTTCTGTGGGTGAAAATCACCAAAAAGAAGTTAACATGCTTTTATCAGCTATCCATATTTAAGTATAAGTAACTTCCAGGAATATAAACCCTAGTTAGATAAAAAATAAACCTGGTGGCATTTGTGGCTGGGGCTAGGATAATTTCCACAGTGTGCATCTTTTTTACCTGCGCCTTGGAGCTTCTGGTGAGTCTGCAGGAGCAACTCCCCGAGCCACAGATGCCAGGAATTCTTGTCTCTTCTGCTGTACAAGGCATGCTGCCTTGATGATCTTGTGGCGGGGTGTACGAAGGTAAGGCCTATTGACTTTTTGGGCAAGGTCTTCAGTGACCATTTCTAGGTCTGTCTATGGTTAAGAGAGAAAAAAGAAGGATTATAGGCCAAGTACGTTAGTCAATTGCAAATCCATGGTCTATCTGGTTTCTCAGTTAAATCTAACTCTTTTGAAGTCAGAAATTAATCCAAATTATAAAATCACTTCCTATTTGACACATACTCCTTTTTTACAAATTTCACAAAAATAGCACTCATTTGATAGACATTTATAACAATGTAGAAATGGTATGGATTACAAAGACATAGTATACCAGCTGTCTACAGGAAATTTATCATTTGTCTATGTGAAAAAAAGAGAGTAAATTTCAAGGCACTACACATGCAAACACATGACTGCGTAGTGTAGATGTAGACCAAATGTAAATGCTGAAGGAATCTGAGGCAAGGCAAGACCCCTGTGATCTGAGGTTAGGTCTGAAAAGCTTCATGGAGAAAATTAATATTAAGCTTTTAAAAGAAATGTAGGATATATGTTAGTAGAGAGCAGTTCAAAGGGGTGACATGAAAATTGTAGCAAGAGAAGAAAGTTTGGTGGATTAAAAAAAAAGAATGTACAATGAAGTTGGTTAGCCACAGTGATGTCACTTGGCTTAGGTGTTTTTGTTTTTAAATGCTGTAACTTTTTCAATTGGACTTTTAATATAAACTGGTAAATAGCAACTTTCCCATCTAGTATATAATATGGTTTCATCTTTGAAGATAAAATTTCTAATTACATAATCAGAATTAGGCCATATTTCAACATCAGCCAGTGTAAAACAAACAAATAAATGTGGTAGGAAATGTTTGCTCAGTCAATAGCTCAGAATTGACTCAGATCTTACAGTGGCAAATTTAAATATAAAAAAATTTCAGTTTATTACTGGTTAACTTTTCCTTTATTTAAAAACCATTCTAAAAATGAAAACAAAATTGTTTACTGGTCACAACCAAATAAGATAAAACTTAGTTATGTGGTTGAAAAAGGACAAAATCTGTTTTTTTATAATAACTGCATTTAAATTTAATTTTAAAAAGATATCTTACTTGCATGAGTTCAAAAATTTCTTTCTTTGTGCTTTTAGGTTCTAAGAAAAATCCGTATGGATAAGAACACTTGAGAATGCGTCGAGTTTTTAAGAGCACATGAACTGCATCTTCAATGAAAGTGGTATCTGGACAGCCTCCTTCAGCTATAAAGTAAATCAGGCACAGTGAAAAAAAACTGTTTTGCAAATATGCTGTTATACTATTAAATGACTGAGTTTTCTTAAAAAAACACTCACAACAAAGGATCTCTGGGAAGAAACTGAAGTAGCTGTTTGATAGTAATAATTTGGACGACTAAAAACCTACACAAAACATTCATGTGTGGCTTGTATACATTTATAAATGAAGCACACACTGCAGCTACCTAGGAGCACTAATGGCAATCATGAAGGAATGTGTACACCAAGTCTGGATTCTGTTCTTACCCTGTTGGTTAAACAAATCTAGCTTTAGGTCAACTCCTCTTCACTATGTTTTTCAGGTTATCTTTACTGAAACTTTGCTGATTAAGAGATAGGGGCACCTGGGTGGTTCAGTCAGTTCAGCGTCCAACTTCTGTTCAGGTCATGATCTCACAGTTCACGAGTTCGAGCCCTGTGTTGGGCTCTGTGCAGACAACTCAGAGCCTGGAACCTGATTTGGGTTCTGTGTCTCTCTCTCTCTTTGCCCCTCTCCTGCTCATACTCTGTCTCTCTCTCTCTCTCAGAAATAAATAAAACATTAAAAAATTAAAAAAGAGTTAAAAACAAAGGCGGGTGGTGTCTGGCTGGCTCAATCCGAACAGCATAAGACTCTTGATCTTGGGGTCATGAGTTTGAACCCCACATTAGGTGTACAGATTACTAATACAAATAAACTTAAAAAAAAAAAAAGAAAAAAGAATTAAATGCCCTGGTAAGTTGTTTGCTAGGAAAAAAAAATAGCCTAATTATGATTATGCTTCTGCAAAAAAAACATTGTAAGAAAAAGATATTATGGGCAACTAGAAAACTAATGCTAGTAAATAAAATATATCAAGGAGAGAAAGAAAGGGAGGAAGACTGAGGAAAACAGGAGATGAAACTGCCTTAATACTGAGACTATTCCTTTTCCAAGTATCATTATAACATTCTAGCTTTCTCCTTTAACTGCAAATAAAGGGAAACTAAGCAGTAGAATCTAGATTCATAAGTACTTTTGAAAATAAGATTATTCTGCATGCTCGTGGAAAGAAATTACATGTGTACGTACACACACTGATATATACAGACTATTGCAAAATACCTACCCTATAAGAGGGATCTGAACTAAGATGTAAAAAAGGAAAAACAAAACAAAACAAACACCATCCCCCACTATGACATGTGTGAGAAGTATGTGAAGGTTTGTTTCTTAAACCTTTCCAATTCTTACATCATTTAATGTATCTTATTATGTTGTCTAGAACCACCAGAAGGTTCAATATAAGCAGTAATTCACACCTACAGATATTTACTAAATGTTTGCTATGTGTCAGGCATTGTTGTAAGTATTAGGGACAGCCTGAAAGGGACAAAAATCCTTGTTCGAAGAAATGTAGAATGTGTGAGGGTTTTGTCTTTTCAATTTTCACTGTGGACAGTACCTCAAGAGTTTGATAATGGCAATATAGTTACATCATTACCAAAGTCTAAAAACTAGTAATTAACAAGGAGACAAAGCTGCTATTGATACTTTTTCTCCTACTCTAATGTATTTAATTTATGCTTACCATCTTAATTAGGGAATTACCCTCATGAAAAGGGGCTTTTTATAAACTAGAGCAAATACAATTACAATTGCATTTTTAGGCTGAAAACCTTTTATATATAAGTTATGATTATTTTAAAAATGTGACTTTTTAAAACAAATATGGTAGAACCTATGCTCTGTGTGGTCATTGTGAGATATTATATTTTAATGATGCAAACAATTCTTAATCCAATTTAGGAATTTTTTTGGATTTCCATCTTAGGATCTGTAAGTCAGCCCTATCACGTCTTTGCTTTTAGACTCCGATGTGCATTATTTATCAGTGAGATGATTTCTCCCAAAATTGTACTTGACTTCCATCCCATTAGGCACTCTGCTAAATTTTCTCAAGAAACTTTGGGACTTCAGTCACACTACAGTTGGGGGGGGGGGGGGCATGTGAATCTTGCTCTTTTGACTATATCAGGGATGCTTTTTAGGCCCTTTTAGGGCCCATCCACTGTTTCTGATATTGTAGAACATTAGCAGTGGTGCAGAGGAAGCAAAACTATGATGTATGTTTATCTGCTAATAGCACAGACTACATTAAGAGGAGCATATGAGGTAGTCTGGGTAGAAAATCTAATTACAGGGGACTCAGCTGCTGAGATGCACTCTGGGCTTCAGAGAACTCTAAGCAGTACCAGAATGAGCTAATGGAGATCATGTTTTCCTTGAAGGGCCTTAACCTCCTACCAATTAAGTGACTTAAGCATGGAAAAGGCTATTTTATATTAATTATCACACATACCACTTATAACTTACTTTCTTTGAGAGCTCTACTCAATTGCTCCATCTTTTCTTTGGCTGTTTTAAGAAGGCGTTGTTCTAACTAAAGGAATAGAAATACATAATTTATATAATTTTATTTATTTACAACAGTATAATTCAGAGCATTTGAAATGATTTGGGACATACCTGATAGCTATGCTCATGGTTTTTAAATCTTGTATAGTAGTGCATAAATCTGTCAAGTTCCTGAAATCGTTTGTGTTTTTTCTCAGCCTAGGAAACAAAAGTCCATAAATGACTTTTATAAATAAAATACTAGCTATTAAGATTGGGGACTTTTGTCACTTAAAATTTTTATTAGTAATAGGTAATTGTGCATACCGATTTGCTGATTATTGAGAGAAAAAAAAAAAAAAACCAGTACATTTTTAAGGCTACCAGAACAAAGTCTTGCATTTGTATTCTCTGTGATAAACCATTGAATCTATGATCCCAGAATGTAAGGCAAAGATGCCTCTCGAGACCTTCATTTATCAGATCTTCGATGTTTTACTACGTTGCTTGTTGCTATGGGCTGAATTGTCTCCCCCCAAAATTCATGTTGAAACCTTAACCAGGGCCTATGTATGAGGTGATCATTAGGGTGGGGCTTTAATCCAGTAGAATTAGTGCTCTAATAAGAAAAGAAAGAGACACCAGAGGGTTCTCTCTCTCCATACCACGTGAGGACATAGCAGAAAGAGAGCCAGCTCTCTGCAAGCCAGGAAGAGAGTCAACTACCAGAAATCGAATTGGCAGGAATCTTGATCTAGGCTCCAGAACTGTGAGAAATACCTTTCTGTTATTTAAGCCACTCACTTTATGGTATTTTGTTATGGCAGCCAAGCAAAGAGATTTATTATATGCTATAACATAATACTGTATTGTTGACATTATGCTAAAACTGTTAAGTCATTACAGAGACAGGGATATCTGAGACTTATCTCTACCAATATAAAAAAAAAGGAATATTAAAAAAAAAAAAGCTCTCAAGTTGATAGACCTATTGTGTTTAAATTAAAGGCTATTATAAAGGCCTCATTATAACAAAGATAGGAAAAGAAGAAATGCAAAATACTTGCAATGGTATTAAGTGGCTTAGCCAGAGGCCTTAATTTAAACAGTTGTTTACCTCCACAGTCATTTCCTTGGATTGCTCCTCCACATGTTGAATGACTTCATAGCGAGTACATCTGTAATAACCTCCTGTGGAAGAACTATGTTTTTTCCATTCTTCTAGGCAAATCCAGCAAAAGTCATACTTGCACTTCAAAAGAAAACATATATGCAAACATCAACCTGTGTTAAGATGCAAATTGTTTTCTGATTTCTAGTCAACCACTTTGTAGAGATTAAACAATTCTGCCTCTGTGACCAGGAATAAATCTTCATAAAGACATGCCATCTTTTTCAATGTGTCCTCTGGGAACCTCATCTGCACTATGAAAGATGTGGGGGTAGTTCAAAATTACTGCTGATGAGGATAAATGAAAAAGTAAATCATAATATTATGAAGTAGTATCAAGGAATCTTTAAAAATAACAATAGGAGGGGTGCCTGAGTGGGTCAGTAGGTTAAGTGTCTGACTTTGGCTCAGGTCATGAACTCGCTTTCATGAGTTCGAGCCCCACGTTGGGTTCTGTGCTGACAGATCAGAGCCTGGAGCCTGCTTCGGATTCTGTGTCTCCTTCTCTCTCTGACCCTCCCCTGCTTGTGCATGCTCTCTCTCTCAAAAATAAAGATTTTAAAAAATTAAAAAAATATATCAATAGGATATTCTTTCCCAGTGATAAAGACAGATACAATATTTAATATTTGATTTTCCCAGTGCATGGTAGTCTTACTTTGGTCTCTGAAGCTTCACCAGTCTTCATCAGAAGTTGTTCTGATGACTTTGACAAATTGGTTTTGAAACCAGAAACAAGTTTGAAAGGTTTCTAAGTAGGAGGACTGATATAAAACCTGTTTCTCGGGGCGCCTGGGTGGCGCAGTCGGTTAAGCGTCCGACTTCAGCCAGGTCACGATCTCGCGGTCCGTGAGTTCGAGCCCCGCGTCGGGCTCTGGGCTGATGGCTCAGAGCCTGAAGCCTGTTTCCGATTCTGTGTCTCCCTCTCTCTCTGCCCCTCCCCCGTTCATGCTCTGTCTCTCTCTGTCCCAAAAATAAATAAACGTTGAAAAAAAAAATTTTAAAAATAAAAAAATAAAAAAATAAAACCTATTTTTCATTTTTAAGAAAATTTCACTTTCTTAATTACCAAAATTAGCAGATAATGCCAAAAATATGAGAATCCCAGTATGAAAATACATCCTTTTTAAATGCTTACAGATTGGGGGTCAGAAAGATCTTCTCATTTTAAGTCTGTTTTCTTCTGGCACTTTTTTTTTTTTTAAACAGTTAAATATTGGAGCTGTTCAGAATTTATCTGGGTATACTGTATACAGTATGGATTCAACTTTCTTTTCCACACAGCTACCCAGTTATTTCAATTCTATTTACTGAACAGTTCATGTTTCTCCACTGATTGGAGATCCTCCTTTATGTAATATATACTAAATTCCCACATATCTGTGTCTATTTTCTGGGCTTTCTATTATGTTTCTAGATTAATCTCTAGATTCATGTTCCACCACCATGATGTTTTAATTATTGAGCTTTTACAATAGGCTAGTATCTGACAAGGCTAGTTCCTCCTTAATGTTATTTTTCAGAGTTCTCCTAGCTGTTCTTGCTTTGTTTCTCCATGTGAACTTTTGAATTAGCTTATCTAGATACAGAAACAAAACCTGCTGGTATTTTTGTTTGGAATTTTTCTATCCAACAACCTTTCCAATTATCATCTTTTGTGTCCTACACAAAAGGGGGTCTTAAGGTTTTCTTCATATAAGTTTTGTGTATTTCTTAAGTTTCTTTCTAGATAAATGAGGTTTTCCTTTTTAGTTTATATTCTATTTGGATGTTTTTGGTACACATGAAGGTTATTGCTTTCTGCATATTAATTTTCTACTCTAATTTACTGAATTTTGTTAGTAGTTTTTAAATTGATTCTTGTGGGTTTTCTGCAATCTGCAAAAAAAAATTTTTTTATCACTTCATTTCTAATTTTTGATCTCTGATTTCTTCCTATTATCTAAATATGTTGACTGGTATCACCAGTCCAAGTTAATACTATTTGAACAGCTCCTTATCTTGTTCTTGATTTTAGTGAGAGTACCTCTAGTATTTCCCATTAAATATCATGCTAACTTTTGGACTGAAGTAGATTTTTATCACACTAAGGAAGAGTCCATCTATACCTATTTCTTTGAGTGTCTTAATAAAGAATGGTTGTTGATTTTTTTGTCAAATGCCCTTTTGGCACCTATAGAACATATATATGGTTTTTCTCTTTGGATCTACTAATAAGACAAGGTATAGCAATTGCTCTTAAAAAGCAATAGCTTAAAAAAATTTTTTTTTTGATGTTTATTTATTTTTGAAGGAGAGAAAGACAGAGCTTGAGGGGAGGGGCAGAGAGAGAGGGAGACACAGAATCAGAAGCAGGCTCCAGGCTCCAAGCTGTCAGTACAGAGCCCGAGGTGGGTCTCAAACCCGTAAACCATGACCTGAGCCGAAGTTGGAGGCACAACCGACTGAGCCACCCAGGTGCCCATCATTTTATTTTTTAATGTTTGTTTATTTTTGAGAGAGAGAAACAAAGTACGAGTGGGGGAGGGGCAGAGAGAGGGAGACACAGAATTGAAGCAGGCTCCAGGCTCTGAGCTGTCAGCACAGAGCCTGACATGGGGCTGGAACTCACCCACTGTGAGATCATGACCCGAGCCAAGGTCAGACGCTTAACTAACTGGGCCACCCAGGCACCCCCAGCAATAGCTTTTTAAATACCGAACCATTCTTGTATTCCAGAAATAAACCCCATGTGGTCAATTACTTCTTTTTTTATAAAACAAAATTTTCTAATTGAGATATAGTTAACAATTATATTAATGTTTTCTGCTGGATTATATTTGCTAAGATTCCCCCCCTCTAATATCTTATTTAGGATTTATGCATTATTGTTCATAAGTAAGACTGATCTATAACTTTCTTTTAATATTTATAATCTTGTCAAGTGTTGATATCAAGGTTCTCACTTTATAGTAATTTGAAAGTTTTCATTTTTAAAAAATGTTTATTTTTGAGAAAGAGAGAGACAGAGTGTGAGTGGGGAAGGGGCAGAGAGAGAAAGGGAACCACAGAATCTGAAGCAGGCTCCAGGCTCCAGCTCTAAGCACAGAGCGCGACACAGGGCTGGAACCCACTAACAGTGAGATCCTGTGCGACCTGGGCCAAAGTCAGATGCTTAACTGAGCCACCCAGGCGCCCCTCATTTTTTTTTTTTTTTTTTTAAACAACTCCCAGAAATAGTTTAAGTCACAATAGAATTGCCTATTCTTTAAAGGTTTGATAAAATTCTATTGTGAAACTGTTAGGGCCTATTGCTTTAAAGAGGGGAGATTGCTGAAAAACTTTCTGTCTTCTATGGAAATAAGTTTGTTTGGGTATTTCTTCTAGGATCAGTTTTAATAAATTATACTTTCTTAGAAAATCAATCCATTCCACTCCAGGGCGCCTGGGTGGCTCAGTTGGTTAAGTGTCCGACTTTGGCTCAGGTCATGATCTTGCAGTTTGTGAGGTCAAGGCCCACATTGGGCTCTGTGCTGACAGCTCATACCCTGAAGCCTGCTTCCGATTCTGTGTCTCCCTCTCTCTATGACCCTGCTCTGCTCACACTGTCTTTCAAAAGTAAAAATAAACATTAAAAAAAAAAAAAAATCAATCCATCCAATTTCAAGTTTGCTTTATTTATTGATTAGTCCCCTTAATTCTTATACCATGTTTTTGAACTCCCTTATCTTCATTTTTTTCTTATGTAAGCTTAATGGTTGATCTTATCTTAAAAAAAAAAAATATTTTTTGGATTTATTAGTTGTATTGTTTTTCAGTTTTTAAGTCACTGATTTCTGCTTAAAAAAAATCCTTCCTCCTGGTAGTCTCCAAGTTTATTGTTTTTCTAATTTTTAAAGTCATATGCTTAAATCATTCCTTATTTTGTATTGCTTTAATAAGGCTAGAGGACATTTCTGAGCAGTGCTTTAGATATAGGTACTCAGGTTCTGATAAAGTAATATTTTCATTATCCTAGTTTTCTATATATGCTTTAATTCCCACTTTTACATCCTTTTTTTTTTTTTACTCAGGAGTTGAGAGATTTAAATTTTCCAAATGGAAAGGCCTTTTGTACCTTTATTACTAATTTCTTTTTTTTCCTTTTTTAAATTAACTTTTAAAAAATATTTTTTTAAATTTACATCCAAATTAGCATATAGTACAACAATGATTTCAGGACTTGATTCTCTAATGCCCCTTACCCATTTAGCCCATCCCCCTCCCACAACCTCTCCAGTAACCCTGTTTGTTCTCCATATTTCTGAGTCTCTTCTGTTTTGTCTCCCTCCCTGTTTTTATATGATTTTTGTTTCCCTTCCCTTATGTTCATCTGTTTTGTCTCTTAAAGTCCTCATATAAGTGAAGTCATGTGATTTTTGTCTTTCTGTGACTAATTTCACTCAGCATAATACCCTCCAGTTCCATCCACATAGTTGCAAATGGCAAGATTTCATTCTTTTTGATTGCTGAGTAATATTCCATTGTAGAGATATATATACCACATCTTCTTTATCCATTCATCCATCAATGCACATTTGGGCTCTTCCCATACTTTGGCTATTGTTGATAGTGCTGTTATAAACATTGGGGTGCATGGGCCCCTTCAAACAGCATACCTGTATCCCTTGGATAAATGCCTAGTAGTGCAATTGCTAGGTCGTAGAGTAGTGCTACTTTTAGTTTTTTGAGGAACCTCCATACTGTTTTCCAGAGTGGCTGCACCAACTTGCATTCCCACCTTTATTACTAATTTCTATTTCATTCCATTATGATAAGAGAATGCTGGTATTACTATTTCTATTTTCTGCAGTATTACTGAGATTTTCTTTGATGAACAATGGTCAATGTTTTTGCTAATGCTCTATGGATACTTGCAAAGATGGTGTAATCCATATTTTCAGGATATAGAGTTTGAATATACAGCAATCAGATATACCTTAGTAATTATGTTAAATCTTCTGTATCTTTACTAATTTTTTCTTTACCTGATAGGTCATGAACACAGAAATGAATTAAAGTCTCTGTATTCATCTAGCTCTTCACTAACATGCATTTACACAATAAATTGTGAATATCAAGGTTCTGAGAGTATGCAGGTTTTGTTGTTTGCTATTAGCAACCTCTGTGCCTAATTTGATACAAGTACCCTTCAGTACAGCTTTACTGATTATCTCCAAATTAGTGGCAAAACTTTCTACAAAATAGCCAAATTTCATATTCTATTAGAAAAAGAATACAGAACTTAAATAACTTTTATTTTTTAGTTGCAGCATATAGTTTTACAGACTCAGTTGAAGAAAATTACTGTAAGTGATTTAAAATGTGTGAGAATGCAAAACTTAAATAGTCTCCTAAAAATTATCCAAAAGGAAATGAATAAAAGTGGGTTTTTTTCCTGAAATATACAAAACTATTTTTAAAAGGCTAAATTTGTTATTCTTCTGTTTTTTTAAAAAATTTTTTTAATGTTTATTTTTGAGAGAGGCAGAGTGTGAGTGGGGAGGGGCATAGAGAGGAGAAACAAAATATGAAGCAGGCTTCAGGCTCTGTGTTGTCAGCACAGAGCCCGATGTGGGTCTCGAACCCACAAACGGTGAGATCATGACCTGAGCCGAAGTCGGATGCTTAACTGACTGAGCCACCCAGGTGCCCCACTATTCTTCTAAGATGTTTAACAGTTTGATTCCAGAAAGTAAAAACTGTGTATTGCGTCACAACACTGTGACATTAATAAAAGTAGATTATGACTTAGTCATTATATTACAGCATGGATTCAATTACACATGATCTGTTGTTCCACCTTCACATTTAAAAAGAAAATTCTAAAAGTATAAAATTTTTCTGTAGCAAGGTTATTACTTTCTAGATGTCTTTCTTCTTCTGTGTCCTAAGAATTATTTGTTAGTTTCTTTTGTTCAATGCAAATACTTCAGATGGTATATTAGACAAGACTATTACGTGTGCAAGTAAATGTTTCTTTTAAATGCAACAGAAGCTTAAGCAAAAAGCTGTTTAAGATAAAAAATCTTAAATCATTAGCCTGATGAATTCATGAAAATATTCACTCAATACGTATTTATCAACTACTTACTACTGGTAGGTGTTTGAAGGAAATAAAGGTAATTATCGGATCTTGCCTCTTTACTGACTCTTTATTAGTAGCCCAACTGCTGATTTTTTATGGTCAACCTGTATTTCTTTACACATCTATATAGTCTGTATCAGATTTTCTAAGAAAAAACTAATAATGGATATTGGAGAGAAGACCACAAATAAAATACTTTTGGCCTGACCAGCTGAACTAATAATAAGCACCTCTGAGCATTTTGCTCAGAACACTGTACTACATTTTTTTCTTCTTCCTTCTTAGGAAATCATTACTGTCTCACTAAGACAACTAATTTATATTAATTTTATAGTACTAATTAGCTTATAAAAATGATCTGGTAACTGCTATCATTTTTTATGTAATAATGATAATGATCATTAGCTTTAATATTAAAGCTCAAGTCATACTGGGGCTCTTGGGTGACTCAGTTGGTTAAGCGCTGGACTCTTGATTTCAGCTCAGGTCATGATCTCATGGTTTATGGAACTGAGGCCTTGTTGCGTTGGGCTCTGAGCTGACAGTGCAGAACCTGCTTGGGATTCTATTTCCCCTCCTCTCTCTGCTCCTCTGCTGCTTGTGCTCTCTCTCTCTCTCAAAAATAAATCAATAAACTTAAAAATATATATAAAAAAAATCAAGTAATACTTAGAAGATATTGATGTATTTAATATTGGAATCTTCTGAACTATTTGGGTTTCTTTCACAATGTAAATTAGAAAAGTTACATTATCCTCTCAATTTTAAGTAATTATTTTTTATGTACATGGAGCTTCCAATGAAAAGAAAAAAATTGGATATCATTATAATTTTAAAACAAAAATGTTTATAAATTTGGCATGGATTAATAAAATATTTATTAACCTAATCCAGAGAATTTATTTTAAATATGGCAGTTTCTTTCTATGCAACTATGTCAGGAGGGTAGTCTTCCAAAAGTCATTATTTATATTAGTTATTTTTTGGTCAAGATTTTTGTTGGCATTTTCATTTCCATTATTTTTAAGTTTATTTACTTATTTTTGAGAGAGAAAGTGAGAGCATGAGCAGGGGAGGGGCAGAGATAAGGGAGGGGAGAGAGAGAATCCCAAACAGGCTCTATGCTGATTGTGTGAGCCTGATGTGGGGCTCAATCCCATGAACCATGAGATCATGACCTGAACCGAAATCAAGAGTCGGACACTGAACTGACTGAGCCACCCAGATGCTGCAGCATTTTCAATACAGGAAATAATTACTTGTTTGATTGATGATTTCATTAGCAGACTTAAAGTCTGCCTACAATCTTAGGTACCTTTATTATATAGCCACTTACACATAGACACCAAGATTTAGATTTGGACCTAGCGGAATTGCCTGGGTCCTGACTTGGGCTTTGAAACTAAGCTGTGTGCTCAAAAGCCAGCTTTGTAAGAGATCTCTATATAAAGTAACACTTTATCATTTAATATTATTATTTATATACAGGCAAAACTCTCAAAATAATCACTAAGAGAGATGATTAGCAGGGAAAGATTCAGGCATTTTTGATCTTCTGGCCAAATATCACTGAATCCTTAACCTATTTTTAACATTCATCATGAGTATAAAATATAGTAGTATAAAGCAATACTTATGTCATTCAACAAAGAATATAGAATTTAATCTGCTAGAATCCATCTGAAACCCAGCAACATTTTTATGCTTGTTTCTTCTTTGGATTAACAGATTAAGATTTTAACAGCAAAGCATGCAAAATCCTCTTCAACTTCTTACCTTGGCACACTGCATGTGATTGCATCCCTCATTCTTCTGTATCGGAGACTTACAGTTAGCACAAGGCTTGGAGTTCGTTAACAACCAGAGACAATTGGCAGCATCCTCATAAGCTTCACTAACTCCTACAACTTTGGGATATTAAGCACAAACACAATATACATGATTTAGTGTATAACTTCAGAGGGAACCTCCCCCTACCCTCTGTGAAAGTGTTCTTTGTAGGCTGTCTCTAAGTTTTAACCACGTATTTTTCTTTTCTTTTTTTTTAATGTTTATTTATTTTTGAGAGAAAGAGAGACAGAGCACAAGTAGGGGAGGGGCAGAGAGAGAGGGAGACACAGAATCTGAAGCAGGCTCCAGGCTCCAAGCTGTCAACACAGAGCCCGATGAGGGGGTTGAACTCAAGAACCATGAGATCATGACCTGAGCTGAAGTTGGACGTTTAGCTGACTAAGCCACCCAGGCGCCCCAAACCATGTATTTACTTTCTTATTAGGATCTATGGCAAAGTTTTAAAACTGCTTTATTCTGAATAGCAGGATTATAGGATAAGGAGGTGTATTCCAAAAGCTTGATATATGAAATATGATTTAAAGATTTCTTTCTAAAGTTGTGTTCAAATAAATTGGGGAAGAAAAAACCCATTTTAAAAAAGCAATATATTACTGTCTGTTTAAATTAACTATTGTAGAAAGAATGGCCCCTAGACCATAATTTCTTGTGGGTCAGTTGTAAACATAATGACCAGATACTTTTCACCATAGTAAAAAACATGAAAGTTATATTGAAATATCAATATTTTTATCCATGAAAACTTCAGATAAACTAAAAATGAATCCCATGTGACATGTCTAAAACTAAGCTTATCATTTCCCTTAAACCTGCCTCTTTCTCTATTCCCTGTCCTAGTAAATGGTATGATCATCAACCCAGAGTCAATCCAGGAAGACCATGATTTTGGACACCCTCCTTTCCCTCACCTGCCACATTCCATTGTTTCTACCTCTTTCTCTTTGTTTATGTCTCCTCTCAATTCCCACTGCTTACTGCTTTAACTAAGGTACTCCACACCTCTTGCCTAGACAATTAAAACACACAAAAAAACAATCTATTTCCCTGGCTCCTTCTTCTGCCCCCGACTTCTACTATACTGCCTACACAGTGATCTTTTAAAAATACAAATTGCTTTTTGGGGTACCTGGGTGGCTCAATTGGTTAAGCGTCCAACTCTTGATTTTGGCTCAAGTCATGATCTCACAGTTCCTGAGATAAAGCCCTACACTGGGCTCTGTGTCGATAGCGTGGAGCCTGCTTGGGATTCTCTCTCTCTCTCTCTCTCTCTCTCTCTCTGCCCCTCTCCCACCTGTGTGTGTGCTCTCAAAATAAATAAGAGAAAAAAAAATAAAAAAACCAGTCTCCTTTAAATCTTTAAGATGCTCCCCACTGACTGCCAAGATAAAATAAAACTGCTTTAGCAAAAAATGCAAAGTCCTTCATGATTTGGCTGCTGTCTACCTGGCAAGCTTCTCCTACCCTCTAACCCCACACTAATCTTCTATTCTTCATCTGAAACTTAATTTATTCTACTTTGATTTGAGAGCTGCAGTCTTACGGAATGTCATGGTTTTTAAAGATTCTAAATCTTACAATTTATGTTTTATAACCAACACCCCTCCCAGCACCCCAAGAGGAGAGTTAGGAGCTAGAGAGTGTTGCAGATGCACAATTAAAAAATCATTTTTTTCCTCCCTGCAGTATTGTTTGTTTTGTTTTCTAGCTCTAAGTGCACAGGGAAGCTCTACCTTTTCTTTCCTGAAAAAGATGTCCAAAACTCACTTTGACATCAATGCACATGGCCCATCCAATCAAGGCCCTGAGTACATGCAGCCACTCTCAAAAGGGTGGGGTAGTTAGTGTACTGTTAAAAGCAGGTGAGAAATCAGACTCGTTGAGTTTTGAAGTTTAAAAGGAAAAATTACCCAACCCTAGAGAGGGAAGGGAGACAAAGGTTTGGGCTGGCTGACCTCTGGGACGTGACTCAGTATATGAACTGGAAGAGCTGAGCACTATGATTAGCCCTTCGATGGAGCTTAGCAGTGGAGGAGTGGGGCTGTCTTGCTGCAAGGAACCCCAAGTGCCTACCTACTTACGTTTGTTCAACAACAGAACAGCAGCTACTGCTGGACTATGAAGCACTGTTTTTCAATTTCACCACATAGCAAAGTGAGACAATAACAGCAATGAACGGACCAGACTCCACTCCAGTACTAAACCCACTTGGTAGAAGATGGTTTGATTAGGGTGTTGCTACAGAGAACTCTCAAGTTAATTTAGTGGAGAACAGGAGTTTCAGAAAGAACTTACTATACTTATAGTTAATCAGCTCAAGCTGTGGAGGTAATGCCATTTACAAAGGGTACTGCTTTAAAACCTAATCACTAAGTACAATGTCTAGTTTTTTTTTTTTTTTTTAAGGAGTGGCCTTTCTCCTCCTTTCAGCATCAACATTATTTTTAGCTCAGAGGCTCTAACATATTCTTATGGCTTTTATTGTCCATTGTTATAATAAATAAAGCACAAAGCCATTAAAACAAAGCAAGCTTGTGTGGCCTGCAACATAACAGTTTTTTTCTACCACCCTCGGAGAGAATGCTAGTTCCTGTGTTCTAGAGGATTGTATGAAGTAAATTGTGTTCAAGAAATAACTATTATTATTTTTTTTTTTTTCCAACGTTTATTTATTTTTGGGACAGAGGGAGACAGAGCATGAACGGGGGAGGGGCAGAGAGAGAGGGAGACACAGAATCGGAAACAGGCTCCAGGCTCCGAGCCATCAGCCCAGAGCCTGACGCGGGGCTCGAACTCACGGACCACGAGATCGTGACCCGGCTGAAGTCGGACGCTTAACCGACTGCGCCACCCAGGCGCCCCAAGAAATAACTATTATTAAAACAGAAACTTGTAGTGGGAAAAAGGCCTTTACTTCTAGTTCTCTCAACATGCTCATTTCATACATGTGCCTTTTGTATATACTCTTCTTCATACCTGCAATATCTATCTCCCTTCAGTCTACCTGGTAAGTTTTCTTCACCCTGAGTTCCAGACTCTTCTCTTCAATTACATGACTATTGTACCTTGATCTTCCTTCCTCAATAATCTAGTGTGCTTAGGTCTCTTTGTAAGAAATATTAACTTCATTTAATCAAGATTAGAGCATAACAATTTAAGATCTACTAGTAGAATCAACATGTATGTAAGTGAAAAAAATGTTGATTTTAAAGACTGACTTCTTAAAAAGACTATTTGAATTTTATTCAATAACCATTTATTATGTAGTATGGAAAAACTGGCCTGAAAATTTTTATAAATTAGCTATCTTTTCACAGAATATATAATCATTCTCCTTCTTGCTCTCATTAGACATAATAGAGGCGGTTTCAGTGCTGAAAAATAGTATTTGAATCCTTATATTGAATTCTTTGAACTAATCTTAGTATATCTTCTAATACTTTTTTCTCATTAGATTTTGTCACTCCTTTTGAGTCTCATAATTCAAAGACTTTGGAAAACTGGGCATAAAGGAGAAAATGATCTCAGGAATTGACAAGTTCAGTTGAAAATGCTTAGGCCAAAGATATGTGACCATGATCCAAATTAATATGTAAACCATACAGCATTAAATCATACTTTTCTTTCTTGGAATATTATTTTTATATATTTAATGATGATGTTCTGCTTAAACATTTCAGTTGGTCCACTATTGTTTGCATTAAGCCTTATCCTAAATTTCATAAACTTCAGTGGCCATTAATAGTGGTCAACAGGTCATCACATTTCAGTATGGAGGACAATGAGAAAATTCCTAGGTTTTTCTCAGCAACTGGGAACTTTTCTGCAGTCTTGGCTTTGGTCCTTCTCTGGTAGACAACTTTTTAGGTATCCTCAGTCTTTTGTCTTCTATCCAATTTTCTAAAGTTCCTCCATTTTTCTGAATTAAAACCCTATTTGGAACTCTTTAAATGAATCTTCGGTTTTTAATTTGAGGTCTCCCTGTCTCTGGCCACCAAAGTAACTATGTATAGACTATATATACACCATTTTCTAGTGCTTCTATTTCTCTTCTCTTTTCATTATCAGAATCATTATCGTATGTAAAGATATTTTGTCACAGTTCCACCAATAATATGCACTTACTAGCTAGGTTGTTCTCTTTCTCTCTCCCTAGTAAAAACTTATTTGTGGGTATGGAATGATTGACCAATTTTACAATGTTAAAAGATAACTAAAAATAATCACCCATTTCAAAATGCTTGTTTTATATCTTAAATCAGACATGGCCATTTTCTACTCAAGAATTAAATTGTACTCAAGAATTTAAATTTCTACTCAAGAATTAAATATATTGTACTAATTACTTCCTGTTGTGCATTAAGTCTTCTAGGCAACTGGTAAGTACACTAGATTTACAACTTAATAAAATTACATCTTCTTAACTCTCCTCTCCTACCTGCATTGCCTCTGTCTTGTTCCAGCCCTCATATCCTCTTACCTGGACATTCTGAAGTTTTCTCAGAAATAGTGTTCTTACCTACTGTCTCAATGGTCCTCATTCACCATCCACACTTCCACCTGAGTGTTCTTTCTCAGTAAGCATTTTTGATTATCACTCTCCGACTCAAAACTCCTTTTCAGTGTCTCAGGATGAAGTCAGACCTCCCAGCATTGCACATAACCTCTACCTCGCCGCACCCGTGACACCTGATTTGGACTTCTGCCTGTGCAGTCTCATCTCTGGTGCAGCACCTTCCTTTGCACTGGTTTGTACTCAGTATCTGCAGCCCTTGAATACACCATGCTATCTCACAGCTCTGCTTCACCCAAAGCCCCAGTACCCTTCCTGTGTGCGTGAAGTACATCTACCAGTTCTCAAGAAGCAGCTCAAGCACCAATTCTTTTATAATGCTTTTCCTCACACTCTCGTAGAGAACTGGTCTTCTCTTGCTCTCTTCCCTCCCTCACAATGTGCCACAGGTATGCTGTTCTTTCACAGCATTAATAATATTTCTTTTTCTTAGTTTTGTATATAGCTGTCTTCATCTCTAAAATGTAAATTTCAAGTAGCGGTCACCTTATTTCCATATTCTAATATAAAATACCACTTAATAAATGTTAAATAAATAATAAAGATATCACTTAAAAGCAACAAGTTATTTCTAAGTTTTCTCAGCATCTCTTCTAAGCTGCAGATAAGCACTTGTAAAATCCCACTGGACATCTCCACATATATGTCCTACAAGACCTCAAGTTAACAATGTCTGTAACAAAACTCATTATTGTTCCCTGAAAGTTACTGTTTTTTAAAAAATATTTATTTATTTATTTATTCGTGTGGGGGTGGGAGGAGGGACAGAGACAGAGGGACAGAGAATCCCAAGCAGACTCCACGCTGTCTGTACACAGCTTGATGTGGGGCTTGAATTCATGACCTGTGAGATCAGGACCTGAACTGAGATGAAGAGTCGAACGCTTAACTGACTGAGCCACCCAGGAGCCCCAAAAGTTACCCATAACTGAATTTCCTAGGCTGACCAATGATCTACCCTCTTACTCAAATTAAAAATTCCCCTCCCTACTTTGATCTCTCCTTCAGTCTAACCTTCCTAGTCATCACTTATCTTTATAAAAATATCTCAGATGCCACTTCCCTACTTAAAAAATGCATTCTATGGCTTATTCTGTTAATAAAATAACTTCAGACAATTTGGCAAAACTTCACAATCTGGCAACACCTATTTTTCCAGCCTCATCTCTTACAAATTCTCCCATGGACATTAATGTTAAGCTTCATATAAATGTATAAAGAAATGTAAGTAGGTGGGCAATAGCAAACCATGTCTAATAAATATGTTTCTTGGTTCCCGAAGCAAAAAGAGAAAGCAAAACCCAATTGTCTTGTCATGTTTAAAGGTGTTGCAGGATATTAGTATTAATCTATGAAACTCACACATGTACACAGACCCATACATATCAGGAGAATAGGGAAAATGGATGGGTGTCAAGGGAGCAATGCAAGCTATTATCTGGGATTCAAGAAAGACACACAACGTACCTGGGGAATAAAAACAATCTATACAGGTGTTTTTGATTTGGGAAGTTCCTAGCATGTACCAGGTACTCAAAAAAATATTTGCTGAGGAGGGTCTGGGTGGCTCAGTCAGTTATGAGTCCGACTTCAGGTCATGATTTGTGAGTTTGATACCCACTTCGGGCTCTGTGCTGAAAGCTCAGAGCCAGAAGCCTGCTTCAGATTCTGTGTCTCCCTCTCTCTCTGCCCCTCCCCCGTTCATGCTCTGTCTCTCTCTGTCCCAAAAATAAATAAACATTGAAAAAAAAATTAAAAAAAAAATAAGCATAAGCAAAATTAAAAAAAAAAAAAGAATTGGAAATATTAAAAAGAATTGTTGATTGAATGATAGAACGTACAGGGTAGAAATATTTAATTGGATCTCACCATGAAATATCCTAAGATTATCCATTTCTTTTTCTCCTGGATAAGGGACATAAGCCTTCTCATCATGTGAAAGGTATCTCCCTCATTATCAATTAATAAACTGATATTCTGGTTTACACAGTAGTCTCTTCTTCATGGATTTGAATGACCCTGAGTCAATGCATAAAATGAATCTTGTGAATCTAAAACGCTAAGGACAAGCTCTTGGGCAATGGTATATTGCCTGATAGAATACAAAACTGTAGGGTTTCATAGCTGTCAGCCAGACTCTGCCAGCGTCACTTCAGCTGCTGACAGGAATAACTGCCAGATCTCTGCCTCTGCAGATATGCTAAAACCCAATTCCTCTCTCACTGTCTTCAGGAGGATTCTTTAAAAAAAAAAAAAAAAATTTTTTTTTAACATTTATTCATTTTAGAGAGAGCACAAGTAGGGGAGGTGCAGAGAGAGAGACACACACACAGAATCTGAAGCAGGCTCCAGGGTCTGAGCTGTCAGCATAGAGCCTGACATGGGGCTGAACTCACGAGCTGTGAGATCATGACCTGAGCTGAAGTCAGATGCTTAACCGACTGAGCCACCCAGGTGCCCACCTTCAGGAAGATTCTATGACACCCGCCTGCCCAGCCTGATTTACTCTCATCTTTATCCAACTATAGTAGTTATCATGTGATACTGTAATGATCTGACTGCTTCCCTTCTAGCCTATTACTTTTTGAAGGCTGGCATCATCATCATGTGCTTTACTCATAATAAGTATAGGTTCACTGAGTGAATTTTTTTTTAATTTTTTTTAATGTTTATTTATTTTTGAGAGAGAGAGGGACAGAGTGTGAGCAGGAGAAGGGCAGAGAGAGAGGGAGACACAGAATCCGAAGCAGGCTCCAGGCTCTGAGCTGTCAGTACAGGGCCCAACAGGGGCTCAAACTCACAAACTGAGAGATCATGACCTGAGCTGAAGTTGGACGCTTACCCTACTGGGCCACCCAGGCGCCCCTTAGTGAGTTCTTTTTTAAAAATTTTTATTCTTAATTTTGAGAGCTAGAGCACATGTGCAGTTGTGCATGAGTGGGGCGGGGGGACGGGCACAGAGGGAAAGAGAGAGAGAATCTTAAGCAGGCTCGATGTCCAGACGAAGCTCAGTGAAGGCCTTGATCTCATGACCATGAGAACATGACCTGAATCGAAATCAAGGGTCGGATGATCAACTGACTGAGCCACCCAGGTGCCCCAGTTAATTCTTAATCCTGATTTGTAATACCTGCAACTAATTCCATTATATAAAAAGTTAAAAAAATTAACTTTTATATTAATTTGAAAATAAACAGTTGTCATAAAACACTTTAGGGGATGAGAAATTATTGCAAAGCAGATATATTTACTTGTTAAATGCAGGAATTGCTATTAGGAAGGCTAATTCAAACCCATTCTGTTTCTAGGCACATACCCTGTTCCTGATGTCACTCAATCCAATCTAAGGGTTAATTTCCTCATCTGCAAAATGGAATTACTAACACCAATTTCATAGCATTTCTGTAGGATTAATATTTATAAAAATCTCAGTTAAAATAGTTATAGACATGGCATTTAATATAAGTAAATCTACAGAGCCACATAATACCAAGAAATTAACTTGTCTTATCATCCAATGGAAGATTCCAGGGAAGTAAGAAACTTCCTCTCACTACAGTTTATACATTTCTTCCCTTAAAGTACAGAAAAGCTAGTTGGTCCACCCCAGGATAAAGGGGAATGGCTGTAGGAGAAGGACTTAAATGTGACCCCTGTTTACCCTGTTTATCTTAACTTAAAACAGTCCGTCAGAAATATGGAACCTCTGATTCACCATTGCAAAAACCTTGTGATGTCCAAAAGGGTGTTGGTTAGAGGTGTAATGTTAAACAGGAGAGCTATAGCATTGAAAACTTACTTAATGAAGACTCTAAGTAATATGACCATATTATCTTTTGAATGCTATTAGAACATATAGTATAGCTTTCTAAGATTCCTCTTACGTTCTTCTGGTTTCATTTCAGTTATTTTTTGTAGCCAATTTTTCCATGTTTGGCAGTCACAAGGCTCATGTGCTTCACCAAGGCACTCCCTGAAGAGGAAAACATAGAAAAGGCAATTAAATATTCTTTATCAACATCAAGGCAAAAGAACAGGTGAAAAGTGTTCTTCCAATTAAAAAAACATTTTTTTTAAGTTTATTTATTTTTGAGACAGACGGACAGCGAATGAGGGAGAGGCAGAGAGAGAGAGAGAGAGAGAGAGAGAGAGAGATAATCCCAAGCAGGCTCTTGTCTGCAGTGGCATCACAGAGCCCAATGCCAGGCTCAATCTCATGAACCATGAAATCATGATCTGAGCTGAAACCAAGAGTTGGATACTTAACTGACTGAGCCACTCAGGTGCCCCAGTGCTCTTCCAATTTTAAAGCTGAGAAAACTGAAGCACAGTGACTAGTGAGAAATGAAGTATTTCGATAGAGGAAGTGAAAATATGATTCTAGAGCTTGATACTGCCAGGTCAATTTTTTTTTAAAGCAGCACATTCATTTACACATTTTTAAAAGTTCCAAATAGATTACCTAACATTTATAATTTAGTTTTGCATGCTATAAGTTATGAGCTATAAAATATTTTTATCAGTTAGGTTCTGTCCTCACTAATACTACTCAAAGTTTGTTCCCTGGGATAGCAGCATTGCCACTGCTCAGGAGCTTGTTAAACATGCAGAAGAGCAGGCCCATAAGACCTACTGATTTAAATCTACATTTTATCAAATTACCACGTGAGCCGTCTGCATTTTAAAGTTTGAAAAGTACTGTTTTACATTACATTTTTGTTACTTTGACCTTGGAATCCCCAAGTAACAGCTAGGGCAATTTAATTTACCATTGAGTTTGCTGAATCCCAATTTTCTGTTTAACTGGAATTTGGCAAATTTTGATTTAAATAATTAAAAACATATCAATTTATCATTTGTAACTTGATTTTACATTCTTTCTATAGCTATATAGAAAATCCAACAGGCTTAAGGGGGAGCCTGGGTGGCTCAATCGGTTGAGTATCTGACTGTTATGATCTCAACAGTCATGGGATTGAGCCCTGTGCTGATGGCTCAGAGCCTGCTTGGCAGACTCGCTCTTCCTCTTTCTGCCTCTCCCTCACCTCCTCTCACAATAAATAAATAAACATAAAAAAAAAGGCTTAAGGCCTTTAAAAATTACTTATTTTAATTCAATACAATGGTATATTCTGTAGTACAAAGGAAATTTTACAGTAAATAACAAAATATCATTTTGAAAGGAGAAAAACCCAATCTGTAGGTGCCATCATCATCATCATCATCATCATCATCATCATCATCACGTGTTATTTTAAACAAAGATCTTATTTGCAAAGTTTAAGTCTTAAGAAGACACACCTGTTGATGCAGGTAGAGTCTTACCAACTCTGAAGAACATTTTACTATATTAAGAATGTTTTGGGGCACTTGGGTGACTCGGTTAAGCGTCTGACTTCAGCTCAGGTCATGATCTCACAGTTTGTGGGTTCGAACCATGCACAGGGTTCTGTGCTGACAGCTCTGCTAAATTTCAGTATCTCCCTCTCCCTCTGCTCCTCCCCTGCTCACTCCATCTCAAAATAAATAAACAACCACGTAAATAAACAAACAAACAAATGAATTCAATGAATGAATGAATGTTTCAATTCTCCTTAACTACTATTAAAAAAATAGATGCTAACTAGTGTTGGGAAGGATGTGGAGAAACTGGAACCCTTATGCAGTGCTGGTAAGAATCTAAAATGATGCAGTTGCTATGGAAAACAGTTTGATGGTTCCTCAAAATTTAAAACACAGAATTATTACATGATCTATCAATTACACTCCTAGATATATACCTAAAAGAATTGAAAGTTTCGCAATGACTAAAATTTTCTCACCAATGTTTATAACAGCATTACTCACAAAAGCCAGAATATGGTTTACAACCCATATATCCATTAACAGATGAACAGATAAACAAAATATATACACACAATGGAATTATTAATTGGCCATAAAAAGGAATGAAATTCTGATACACACTACAACATGGATGAAACTTGAGACATTATGCTAAGTGAAATAAGTCACACACAAAAAGATAAATATCGTATGATACCACTTACATTAAATATTCAGAAAAAGGAATTCACAGACAGTAGAATGGTGGTTAACAGTGGCTATGGGGCAAGGGAAGATGGGGAGTTATTGTTTAATGGTTAGAGTTTCTGTTTGGTATGAGGTAAAAAGTTCTATAAATGGATAGGAAATGGTTGCACAACATTAGGAATGTATTTAAAACCTCTGAATTATATACTTAAAAATGCTTTGAAGGGAAAAAAAAGCATCAATTATCTTGAAAGAGTAATTTAGTTTGCTTAAGTTCCTGATATTACTGGGGTGCCTGGGTCACTCAGTTGGTGGAGCATCTGATTCTGGATTTCAGCTGAGGTTATGATCTCAAGGTCCTGGGATTGAGTCTTGAGTCGGACTCCGAGCTGAACATGGAGACTGCTAAAGATTTATTTTCTTTCTTTTTCTTTCTTCCTTTCTCTTTCTTCCTTTCTTCCTTCCTTCCTCCCTCCCTCTCTTTCTTTTTCTTTCTTTCTTTCTTTCTTTCTTTCTTTCTTTCTTTCTTTCTTTCTT